AGTTCAGCCCAGAATCACGGAATGCAGCACGTGATCACTCGGAGTCTTCTCTCTGTAAACAGATGCCGCTTTGTTCGAAACTATGGTGGGCACTGCAGACTGCGGAATCCCGCGGAACCTTGTAGACCCCCTTTGTCGGCACTACACTACAATCACTACAATGATTACAGTGTCGATACACCCTTTCTGTACAGTTACAGTACGTGTCTCTGTGGCTGGTCTGTGTTTGCTGCTTCCTAGGTTCCTGCGCCAGCTTCGGGAATTGAGTGACTCCGGCGGCGTCGGCTATCACACGGTGACGCTGAACCTCGATCTGTCGGACTGGGTGATGCAGTCACGTAGCCGGCCTGCCGGGCATGATTATTCAGCGTGTTGTTGCTCATGTGCTGGCTTGGCATGGCACTGGTGTGAAGCACGACATGTACCGGGGAACCCCCCGTACACATATGACTAGATGACTAGATTGACTAGATTTATATTCAAGTCGCTCACCGAAGTCAGTCCGATTTGCACTGCCCAACAAAGCCTCTGGGCCAGACGGTGCTTTGTTTGCAGGGCTTTGCACGTTGTGCTTCACGGGATGTAAGCCACTAGGCAGCCCCTTGCAGCCACTTGTAGTATTATAGGCTCACCGATGGGTCAAGTCACGTGCAAAGATTACCTTTCTAGAGTCTCTAACCACTAGATCACGTCACTAGAGAGTCAATAGAGTTTGGATTTGTGGAGTGTTCTTGTTTTGCCGCATTCTGGCCAGAGAAGAGGTTCAGCATGCTCGACGATATCGACTGGCACGCCTGGTTCCGTCACATGCAAAGAAAGCTCCTTCCAAACATGAGTTTGTCAACCGGCCGCCTTCACGCTAAGGCTTAGGCTCAGACTTAGACATTATTGATGCTAAGCTGCCAGAGTTGCTAGCTAGAGTCTCAGAAGTCGCCAGCAGCTCGCAAGTTGTTTGGGCAACTGTGATACTTGGCATTCCGAGCTATTTGTGTTAGGCATAGGCTGGCCGAAGGTATCTCCGGGTGTCAGATGGCATCGAGCTCACGCAACAGCTGCAGCTACATGCTTTGCTCATTGTGAGATGCGAGACACATATGTCTGGGTGGGCCAGGCTCGCTTCTCGACTTGGTCTCGGGGAAGATGAAAACTTGCAATCAGAATCGTGTCAAGCTCCTGCATCGAGCGAGTCCCAGGGTACAGTCCGCGATCGGCCTGTGTCTTCTGTTTCGCGCAGGCCTGGCAGACCTCGTGGCAGTGTCACTGTAAGGGCGGCTGCATTGCAGCAGGAGGCCCTGCAAGAAGAACTGGATGAGGGAGCGGATGAGACGATGATCCAAGCAGAGGAGCCTGTGCTCCTCGCTTCTGTGCCAGAGGAAAGGTTACGTTTTTCGTTGGAGGCCTTTCGGGACGCAGGCACTGCTGCTTTAACAAGCTGGATTGAATCCTTTGTGTTGCAGTATCGACAACGGCAGCAGCAGCAGCAGCAGCCTCGGCAGCAGGAGCATCCGCCGGATGAGGAAGCCCAACAGGCGGACTCGCAGGACTCGAATATGCTTGTGCAGATGATGCGGAACAGCAGTCATCTTTACAGCAAGCTGTGTTTAGGGCAGGCTATGGGCATTTCCACACACACCGTTTGCCGCAAATTCAAGCAGTGTGCCTCTGCTCTTTTGCATGGTCAGCGTATTCAGTGGTCTCGCTTGCTTCACAGGATTGGTGCCCGACTGGCTGCTGGTGAATGTGAGGGTTTGCTGATTGCTCGCGTGCACAAATATGACGAGTCTCCGTTCACTGTGCGAGTCGATGAGTCCGGAGAGTTGCTCGGACTAGACCGGAGACGTCGCCAGCAGCAGCAGACTGAATCCGCTGGTTCCCGGGCCAAGCTTGTGTCGACCTTCCACCGACTTTTCATGGTGCTTCGTCGTCCGAGCGAGGACGGTAAGTCGTTTGTATACCAGGCCCTGACGGGTTCTCTTCCGCATCGCTTGCATGTGGTGGAAACTGTTTCTGCGCAGAACATGAAGGCTTCGCAAAATGCTTGCATTGCCGACCTCCCCATCCCTGAGGACTTCAGCTCGTTTTTCAAAATGAGATTGATGTTGTCTTGCACGGACCGCCACTCGAGCAACTTGGCCGTGGAAAAGAAGCTGCAAGCAGAGCATGAGTCCTGGACATTTGCCCAGTCTCATTGCAGCATGCACAAAGCGGCCGATGCACAATCCAGACAGTTTGAAGTTACGTCAGCTCACGTGTCTGGGATGCTTTCAGCAAGTATTTCCATGCAAGCCGCCGGGACTCACGGGCAGCTGAAAGCCATCTTGTCGCAGATTTTCGAGGAACGGTTGGTCGTTCTTCATGGGAATCCGCAATTGGTTGAGCATCGGCACAGCTTGTACGAGCTCCTGCTTCCACTGTCAGGTGCCGAGAAGCTGAAGCATTCGAAGCAGCGTTGCATCCTTGATGCATTGTTCAATGGAAACGTTCAGGATGACAGCCGAGTCGTTCACATGACCATGAACCCCAGCTGCAACCGTGACACCATGCTACCATTGTTCTGCTCCTTCGGGGTGTGGGGACTGCTCGGGGGCTCGGCAGCACCATTTTTTAACCGCAGCAAGTGGTTAGGTGGCGAGGTGGCCATCAGCTGGCATGCGCTGCTTGCCAACACCCATGGTTTGCACAAAGAGCTGTTCCAGAGATGGTCGTCGGTTGTCACACCGACGCCCAGACACATGACAACACGGACCTCGCCGGGCTGGTCCGCGATTGCATCGAGGATTGTGTCTTCCAGCATTTTGGATGGGCCTGCTGCTGATGCTGCCAGTGCGGCTGCTTCTGCTGCTGCTGCTGCGGCAGTACCAGTTACCCAAGATGCTGAGGAAGTTGTCGATGATATGGCTGGTATGGGTGCTGCTGTGGATGAAGGCGCGCAGGATGCCACCACACTTGACTGGAAAACTTGGAACCGTGCGAACAAGCGAAAGGCCATTGTGTGGTCTCTTTGCAACCCTGGCAACGTCTTGATTGTGATGCGAATTTCCATGCAGCCAGTGATCAAGGTGTTGCATGCGCTTTTCCGGTTGTCCGCCGAGAAGTTTGTGAAGGATCAGCTGCTTGCGTCTGTGCGTGGGGGTGACAGGAAGTTTCGACTCACAGAATTGTTCTTCGGGGAAGTGGTGCCAGAGTTCCATCGTGACATGAACACAGCATATCAGTCTGTAATGAAGGCTTTGCCTTTCCAGGGCATGACCACAGCCACTCGTGGCTTGGCCACCCGCATGCTGACGCGGGCATATGCTTCCTTGCATCAGACTCTCCTGTGCAATCGCTCATCGTCGCTGGTGATGCTGTTCAAAGTGCTGGTGGCTGGCTCCGAGAAAGATGCCGCCGTTCTTGCTTTTGCACATCTGAAGGAGTGTCTGCTGGATGACATCTCCAAGAGCTTTCGAGCCTGCTTTGCCGATGAAGGGGCTCTGGCATCGGAGGAGGCTTCGGCTATGCTGGAATGCATTGCAAGGGAGTATGACATTGACACACTTCAGGTTGAACGTGGTTTCAGCCAGATCCGCCGCAGAGTCATGGCCAGATCGTTCCACACCTGGCGACCGGCCCACTCGGATGTGGCAAGCGAGTGCCTGATGCGGCACTGTGCACTCGACAAGCAGCGACAGGAGTACTTTCGCGGGCTTCGTCCGAGTGTCACGGCGAACCTTGCAAAGTCCCGGCAAAGGAAAGAGCGTAAGCAAGTGCAGGGTGGTGGGGCGTGGCGTGCATACATGCGCATCCGTTCACAGGGTCGGAGGTTCACGGGTCTGCAATCGACGCAGCGGGCCAAAGAGTACCATGATCTCCAGCAAAACGACCCTGAGGCCTTTGCTGTGCTTAAGAACCTTGGTGATTTGGCTCATGCTCGAGTTGTGCAGGATGCGCAGCAGCGGCAGCAGAATGCAAGCCAAAGCAGTCAACCAAGACGTCCGGCATTTGATTTTGATGTGTCCCGGCTCCCGAAGTCTTTGCTTGAATCTCTGCAGGCTGCGGATGACGATGATGATGATGCTGATGGAGGTTTCCGTGCTGCTCGCTGTGCCGAAGCTCCGGCAATTCTCGGTGTCGAGGATGATCTGCGTCGACTCCTGCGGGAGAGTCGGCAAGCTGCAATGGCAACAAACGCTTTGGAAAACTCGCAGGGAGCCGAAATCTGTGCCAAGTCGGCTGAAGTCGCCACAGGGCCCAGCTTCCAGAGCCTCAGCAGACCGCACACGTCGCAGACTGACACCGAGAAGGCCTTGCTGCTTGCATCCGCCAACTCCGACTTCCTTTGTGTTCCAGGTCAACCGGCGGTGGCCGTTTTCTCCCCGACAGCGGAGGTGATCGTCAAGGACACGGTTCGGTGACGTGCACTGTCAGGTTAATGGTTGAATGAGGTTTGTTTTGTTCTATAGTTCTACAAGTCTACAAGTCCACAATGCAGCAGCGAACCTAGGACCCAGGACTTAGGAACTACCAGCAAGACCTAGGACCACCTAGGACCTAGGACCTAGGACCGAGAATCTAGCAACTAGTAACTAGATTGTAGTAATTAGTGTCTAGTCGGATGATTAGAACCATTGGATTCTAGTAATCGAGCAAATTTGTTAGGTATGAGTTATTGGGGTGTGTAGTTATATCCAAGTATAAGGCCTAGAACTCTTACGTTTTACGTTTGCTGCAAGCAGCGGTTGGTAAGTAGCTAATAATAATTAGCGCCGTATCAATGTTCGGGCTTTGTCTGTGTCTATGTACGTCTGGGAAGCAACATCCGCTGCATTGCTTCCCATTCCCAGGACATCTTCGAGTCAAAGAGTACGAGAACATCCCGTGAAGGTTTGCTTGCTGCCTTAGAAAGTGACTGGTTCAGCAGATGCCAGATGCTTCGAGCAGATGACACTGGTCCACAGTCTTCGGTGCCAACAAAAGTGTTGGGCGGTTGTTCTGCGCTGGCATTTTGTGTTTGTTCCGGCATGGGTTTGCAGGCCTTTCGCATGCACAGCAACCTCGTCAGCTACCTGAAGCCTTTGACAATGACACCGCGGCGTCCTCGCAAATCCAAGAAGGTGGATGCTTCTAATGCCGCCGAGCAGAAGCCGACCCCGGCCAAGAAGACCGATGCACGTTTGCTTCTGGACAGTGCATCGTTATGCTTGCTGTTTGAGCCCACTGCACTCGTCGCTGCTGCAGATGGGTCTTCCGAAGTTCAGGACGGGGCGGTCCCAGTGGACTCGGAAGACAAGCTTGAGGCAGAGCATCCAGGTGCCAAGAGTGGCTGGCTGAAGCGAGTGCAAAAACTGCTGCACAATGCTGCGCCAGTGAAAGTTGATGAGCAGCGGCCGGGGCCAGCTTCCGAAAAGCCTGAGAGTCATTGGGTTCACGTCGGGTACATGAACCACAGATCTTATGTTTTGTCGTGGGTTCCGCTCCTGCCCGATGGATCGCATCCTCAAAGGAACAACGATGCCTTGAAGAACCTGCGTGTGCCCGAGGAAGCGAAGTGTTACCGGAGCTTTGAGTTCTTCCAAGATCGGGTGGATTCTTCGATTGCGTGGACTTGCACTATCTACAAAGTGTATGCATCAACTTCCCCGCCGGAACATGTAGTTCCCAGTGAGGCTCGGCCGAGCATGCTTAGTGTGATCCGGTACGCTGATGTGCCTCGGTTGGATTTCTGGAAAGGCTCCGCTGCAGAAGATGAGGCTCGGAAGCGTCCTTCAACGGGGCACGGCAAGGGTCCGGGCGGGCCCGGACCGCCTGGCGGGACTCGAAAACGCAAGGCCGAGGGCCCGCTGGATCCTGCAGACGTACATGAGGGTCAGCAGGGCAAGAGCGAGGGCCATGTGCCAAATGATGACATGGCCTTGCTTTCGGCATTGCAAAACGAGGAAAAAGGAGATGGTGAATCTTCTGTGGATGGAGGAAAGGAGCTTGATGACTTGGAAGATCACCAGGACATTGTCGAAGGCCAGGCCGATGAAGAAGAGCTTGCTCCAGACCTGTCATTGGATGCTGAAGCTGTTGAGGGCGATCAGGAGGAGGAGTTCGACTTGGAAGCATGCCAGGCGGAAGAAGGCGATGATGAGGCTGTGGATCCTGGCCACTCCCACTTTCGAGACGAACTGATGCAGAGGCTACGGAGACTGACAGCCGACGACGTCGATTCTGATTCTGATGCAGGCAGAAACAGGCCCGCGGCTGCACACGCAGCAGGTGCAGCCGACCATCATGATGACGACGACGATGGTGGAGGAGTTGGTGACGTGATCTACTACCCGCCGGGCTCAGCGGACGCTGAACAGGATGTCGCAGGTCCTGCGAACCCACTCCCTGCCGAGCCTGTTGATGCTGAGCAAGATGCGGAAGCTGATCACGAAGCCGAAGCCCGTGTCCTACGAGCCGTGCCTGTAGGAGGTGACAGGATTCGTATTGCCAGGAAAGGCTTCTTGGTGCATTACCCCGCGGAGTCTTGCTTGGTTGCGGTGTGTCTGAAGCACAAAGACTGCAGGAAAAAAAGAACGTTGCTCGCGGGCCGCAGAGGCGGCCAGGGGAGGTGCCTAGGTTTTTTGATGGCGTGGTTGAATGCATCTGCAGACTACGATTCTCAACAATCCCACGTGAATGCTTTCACGACCACTCTGCAAGCACGAAGAGAAGGCCGAGCGGAGTTCATGCGTCTCCCCAATGCTGCCGACTGGGCCGCCAAGGAGCAAGGTCACAGAGCTGAGGGAGACACAGACGAACCAACGCGGTTTGTGTGA